GCGAGCGAGCGAGAAGGGATGATGATGTTTCTCGCTCGTTTTACGACCGCGTCGACGCGGGCAGACGGAGAAAGTGGCATAGAAACGACGATGTCATACGTTCGCGATCGGGAAGACGTTTGTCCCGTATTTTCGGGTGAGAATAAATAATACTAATTCATTTTCCTTTTACAGCGATTCACGATATTTGGTGAGAAGAGACGATCCGCGATAAATATCAAACTGGAGATATTTGCTGTCGCCAGCGGGATTTGTCGTTTCTTGCTGGCTACTAGATTCGCATCTGCATAGTCGCGCCCTAAATTTTCTTCGGTGCTTTACGTCCGATTCAGGGCCCACCAGTGGCCAAGCGGTCTTCATACCCTGAACACTGGGAGTTCGGTCGTGGATTCGCGCCTCGCTTGGACGGGCTGGCCACGTGGAGTTTTCCGGTTTTCTCCACGTCTACAACGTCTAAATAGGGGCCAGTTTCCCGTAAAAAGGCATCCCCTAAGCAGATCGCCCAAGTGTTGCGTTGCCATAACTTGACAAACAACAACAACGTCCGATTTGGGGGAACCCCTACGATTATCCGGAAGTGCCCGGCCAGAGCGCTCAATTATTCTTTCCGCGTTCTTTCGGAGCGGGAGAACTCTTCGCTGGCAGCTAAATGCTGCCTCGATTCGTTTTCGAAAATGCAAAATACCCGGATCTGGGTCAGTGGCGTAGCATAGTGGGGGCGGCAAAATTTCACACAAAATAATAATATCTTGTAAAAAATGTGAACCATTTTATTTCATATTCCCCTCGCACGTACGATTCGGACCGATTGAAATGAGCAAAGGGAATAGTGTTACCATCCGGACTGTCCGGATGGTAACACTATTCCCTTTGCTCATTTCAATCGGTCCGAATCGTACGTGCGAGGGGAATATGAAATAAAATGGTTCACATTTTTTACAAGATATTATTATTTTGTGTGAAATTTTGCCGCCCCCACTATGCTACGCCACTGACCCAGATCCGGGTATTTTGCATTTTCGAAAACGAATCGAGGCAGCATTTAGCTGCCAGCGAAGAGTTCTCCCGCTCCGAAAGAACGCGGAAAGAATAATTGAGCGCTCTGGCCGGGCACTTCCGGATAATCGTAGGGGTTCCCCCAAATCGGACGTTGTTGTTGTTTGTCAAGTTATGGCAACGCAACACTTGGGCGATCTGCTTAGGGGATGCCTTTTTACGGGAAACTGGCCCCTATTTAGACGTTATAGACGTGGAGAAAACCGGAAAACTCCACGTGGCCAGCCCGTCCAAGCGAGGCGCGAATCCACGACCGAACTCCCAGTGTTCAGGGTATGAAGACCGCTTGGCCACTGGTGGGCCCTGAATCGGACGTAAAGCACCGAAGAAAATTTAGGGCGCGACTATGCAGATGCGAATCTAGTAGCCAGCAAGAAACGACAAATCCCGCTGGCGACAGCAAATATCTCCAGTTTGATATTTATCGCGGATCGTCTCTTCTCACCAAATATCGTGAATCGCTGTAAAAGGAAAATGAATTAGTATTATTTATTCTCACCCGAAAATACGGGACAAACGTCTTCCCGATCGCGAACGTATGACATCGTCGTTTCTATGCCACTTTCTCCGTCTGCCCGCGTCGACGCGGTCGTAAAACGAGCGAGAAACATCATCATCCCTTCTCGCTCGCTCGCATCTGCAAAGTTGCATCCCCTACACTTCCAAAGCTGCGAAACGAGTCCATAAGTTATTTACATTCGGGCACGGGACGAACGGTGTAGTTCGTTTCACCTCATATTTTCTTATCTTTTTATCGATACGTTCATCCCGTCTTTTAAGACAAATTTATTTGCCCGTCTACCCCGAAGATTCTAAAAAAATTCCAGACTAGTTTACACTTAGTCCTCGGAGAAAGACATCCGGAACTTTCCAACCTCGCGTTTCCGGTTCCGGCGACTTCCGTCCGTAAAGAATGGCCGAAAGGGCGCGCCGTCGTCGGTCGGAAGAGTAGATGCAACGAATACTGAAAGAATATATTTATTTAAAATTTCAGAAGACGCGGACGAGCGATTCCACAACCGAATAAAATCTCACGTCATATACAAATGAAAACAATCTAATAAATAGTATATTTATATATATATATAGATGGGCGTGGGCGCCGTCATAGAAAACTTAACTAAAAAAGTCGCCGACCACAGTATAAAATGTTCCTCGGCACGGGGGGAAGACCACCACTTTCACCCCCCCGCCGAGGGACGGGCATGACGTAGACCGGCCTCGTCTCCCACCGGGATCCTTCTCCCCCCCGAATATCGGCGGGATCGGCTCCGACGGACGACTTCTCCCCCCTCGCCCCACAAATTTTCTGGCGGGCGGGCTCGGCCCGCCGAAAAACAAAATACGCGGGGATCATCCCTTACAAAATAGGAGCGGCGAGATTTATATATAAATACGGATGGCGGCGCGAGTTAAAAAAACGTCGAGTCGACTGTACAGAAAATAATGGACGGTGCCAGTCCCGGAAGTGCCGCTCGTTAGGAATCGGCGGCTTCATTTTCCGCGGGAATGCCGGGCCGAGAGATGGCGGCCGCCGCTAGAACGACAAACCAAAGTTTAATTAAATCGGACGACTACTACGTCAGAGAAGCGGGCGCCGCGGACGCACCTCCTTCCTTCTCCTTCTTCTTGGCCTTCTTTCGATGTCGGTCGATCAGCGCCACCTCGGCTTTCAGAGCCATGTAGGTCTTCTTCAGTTCCGACAGACTCTCCTGCAAAATGGCGATTCTCTTGTCCGGATCGGTGTAAGCATCTGAAAGTGAAATTTCGGTTAGTTTCTCCTCCCGGAAGCACTCCCTGAGAAACAAAAGAAAGAGAGTTCGTACCTAAAGGAACGTAAAAGTTGAACTTGGAAGTTCGGGTGCCGGAGGCGGAGTTGGAAGCGGAGGCCGGAAGACCGCAGCGATGCGAACCGGAAGTGTTGTCGGAGGCGTATTCCTTCTGCTCGCCTGTAAACAGAACGCAAAAAGTTTCTAGTATCCGCATTATGACCTTTCCTCCTTCCGAAAACTGATAGACCGCGTGCCGAAAACCGGCTCCCTATTGGGCAGTCACCGAGAGTGCGGGGAAATTACCCGATTTCCGGTATATTTTGGAAATTTTAACTTCTCCGTAATTTCATACCGCGCCAAAATTCCCTTCTTCGTTCGACTTTACGAACTTTTCAAAAACTAAAGCCTGGCACTCACGTGCAGAAACGGTTGCAGTTCCGTCGTCTTTCCGTGTCGCGTGTACTCACACGCGGAAATTACCCAATTGAAACGCGCCATCTGCCAGCCGTAAACATAAACAACCTACTACAGTAGGTAGGCCATGTGCCAGTAGTCGAAAATGGCTTCTACCGAAATTACTTTGTTATATCAATTAAACTTTTTAAGTTTGCCTTCGATCTTATCGCAAATAAAAAAAAACCTCAAAAACGAATAATTTGGATAGGAAAAATATTCTAAATGTCGAAAGTCAGGAATATCGAATACTTTTTCGTCACCGAATTACAATTACTCCATTCCCAATACTTCATGTAGTAAGTCTGTTTGACATTAATATTTGAATCGGATAGTAATACAGCGTATAAATGAAATATATTAGCGTATTAGTGTACAAAACTATGGCGGTCGGCAAGCTAAAAAGCTTTATAGCTTTTTAGCTTGCCGACCGCCATAGTTTTTGGAATTTTCCCCATGAAAAAACCATTACTTTTTTAACGCCATCTGCTGAAGATCGCTTGCGTAATCGAAGAGGCGACGATCCGCACGGAGAGAAAGTCGAGCGATTTAAAACACGAACGAAGTAAGCCATTCGTAAACGATTTCCTAGAGAAAAATGGAAGAGCGATGCTGCGGATTTTTACCGGCAAGTTTTTGAACTCTCTCCGGAAACAGAAATGCCGCAATTCGGACGTCGCGAGCGCGAGGAACGCCGGAAAAACTCCGGTTTTTCCTCCTACGAAGCGCTCTATCGGCCATCGACCGCGCGAATCCCGAAAAGGTTACCGCTTCGACCGGGAATTTTTGTAAAAGAGACTGACCTTTGGCATTTTTAGGGTGGTTCCTCTTTCCCCCCGAAGAAAATCCTTTGGAAGTTCTCTTTTTCTTGGAGAGGCGCGCCTCTTCGATTTCGGCTGACTGGCGCTTGAGGGCGTTGGCGCTCTTGGCGCGAGAGTCGTTCTTGCCGGACGCCGCCCGATTGGCCAGAAACAGGATGGCGCTTTCTGTCCGCGAGAGGGAATCTTCGCTCTCCGTGGCCTCGGTCCCGTCCGCATCTTCGGCCAAATCATCCTTGGGGGGAACGTCGCCATCGTAGGCGGGCGAGTTGGACAAATAGGAGGGGGCGCTGTCGGGCGTGGTGGGAGGCGTGTTGTCCAGCACCGTCGAGGCCTCCACCACCCGGACCGCTTCCCCGGGGCCTTCGGGCCCGGCGGAAGAGGCGTTGGCCGAAAAGTCCACCGATGATTCGGAGGCAGGATCCAGCGAGGCGTCACTCGGCTCCGTCTCGGAACATGGAGAGGAAGAGAGGCCCAACACCGCTTCCAGGCGCGGCGGAAAAGGATCCGATCTGCCGGAGTCCGAGGCCGAGTCCTCCGAGTCCTCGGACTTCTTGTCTGCCGATTCGACTCCGTCGTTTTCCGGGGGATCCGACTCCGAGGCCGAGGCCCTCCTCTTCTTCTTCGACTTCTTCCTGTCCTTCTTGCACTTCCTGGCCTTGGAGCTTTTGTCGCTGTCCGAGCTGTTCCCCTCCTCTAAAGAGCCGGCTTCCTTTTTCTTCTTCTTCCTCTTGGCCTTCCTCTCTGATGCCTCATTCTTCTTTTTGTTCTTCTTCGTCTTCTTGAATTCCTCGTTCTTCCCGCCGGGACGGACGAAAGCGGAAGTCGCCTGCTCTTCCTCCCTTTTCTGTTCTTTCTTGCAGAAACCGGATCCTTCCGACGATTCCTTTTCCGCTTCTCGACTGCTCTCGCCCGGTCTCTTATCCTTCTTCTTCTTCTCCTTCTTGGCCTTCTTCTTCGGTTCCCCTTCTTTCCGATCCCGATTTTCGGCATCGCTCTTCCCGGAAAGGTCGGCGTTTACGTCTCCTCCTTCCGCCTTAAATAGTTTCTTCTTCTTCTTCTTGTCCTTCTTGGCGGTGGCCGCCTCCCCCCGAGGGCGGGTCCTCTCCTCCGTTTTGTGATGGCAGGAACGGCGGGGGTTGTCTTCCGCCTCCAAACCGTCGCCGTTGGCGTGTTCGGAGCGGGAGTTGCACTCGGAAGACGACTTTCCCACGCTGCCCTCCTCGTCGGCGGAATTCTCCCCCCCTAAATAGTCCCGCAGGGTGATGTTGGGAATTTTGCAGGACAGTTCTTCGGTTTCGCTGACGGCGCGTTCCAGGAGGGGTCGAGTCTCGTACCTCTCCTCTCCCGCGTCGGGACTGAAATCGGGCTTCTTCTCCAAAGGAGGAGGATGATCGTCGTTGAACGACGACGCCGAATCCGGGAGACTTTCCATCTTCCACGCTATTTCCGGAGGATGCAGGTCGTCCGAATTTACCGGTTCCAGCGTTTCTTCCAATTCCGTTTCCGTCTTTTCTTCTTCCGTTTTGGCCGCGGCCATTTCCAGTTTCGGCCCAATGGCGTTCTGGTCGGTGGAAATATCCGGCATCTCCAATCCCTCCGAATCCTTGGAGGAGAGAGCCGCTTCCGGGATTTTCTCGCATTCTTCCGGGGATTCTAATTCCCAGTCCTTCTCCACTTTTATATTCTGGCAGGGAATAAAGCCATTGGAAGTGATGTCGAAACCCGGATCGGGCAGATCCACAGAATCACCTGTTCTATGCTCGGCGGAATTCGGCCCTTCTTCGGGCGGGAGGACCGGCGATAAATTGGCAAACACCCCGATTTTGGTATCTTCCGCCGTTTCCTCTTCCAACTTTGGCAATTCTTTGTCGTCGGGCGTGTCGCCATCCTCCCACGGGTGCTCTTCCTCCTTCTCAGTTTCTTCCTTCTCAGTTTCTTCGAAGTTCTTCTCTTCGCTGGACTCTTCTGCGTCGTACGAAAATTCCACCTTAATGGTCTCGTCCGAAGTGTTGGGATCCGACCGACTCTGCGACTCTTGGCCTAATTCCGTGTCGTTCGTGTTGTGTGACGTGTCCGCTTCGTTGTCCGAGTCGGGGGGTTTTCTTCTGGACTTCCTGGTCTGCGATCCCCCGTTGCTGGAAGAATCCGAAGCGCTGTCCTGTCTTCGTGTTCTGCAAATCACCGACGCACTTTTGGAGATTTTCGAAGTGGCCAGGGACGACGCCTTCGATTTCCTCAACGACAGCTTGAACAATTTACTTCTTTTCACCAATTCTTTACTTTTCGAACCCTGAAATCACATTCGAAATTAACAATGCATCATAGATTTAAAATATAATGAATTATTAAATGATAATTTTAGACTTTTCCTAGACGTAAAAAAAATCTAGCAACGACAATCGCGGCTGTTACGAGTTTTTATTTAAAAAAACTTTTATATTATTAATTAAACAAAAATAAAATTGTGCGCGGCACCATCTGTTATCAGATTTTGTTATAAAAACTTATATTTTTAATTACAGTAAAATAGCAAAAAGCTTAATTTTGGGGGCAGGGATGAGTTTTATAAAAGTGTGTAAACATTAATAACGAACAGAATATTCATTAAGTCCCACCCCTCTCGGGATCCATCATCCTTTCTATCTACCCACTCTTCTGACCTTTCAATACCAAAATTTAACAGCATTGATACCCCTTGTATACAAGCCACCATGCCAAATTTCATTTCTTAATCTTTATCCTTTTGTTTAGGTGCAAAATTTGATAATGCAGTGTTCAACGGCTGACTTTGACTGTTCCACTGCAGTGCCTTGCACGTGGGACATGATGTCCTTTAGGTCTGTCTGCTACTGTTGCAACCTTATTCCAATAAACTGTTCTTTAAATGGCCCTGTAGCAGTTTAAAGAAATGCATGTGCTCCAGCAGTGTGATGGCCATTTCTGCCATAGCCAAAGAATAGCATTTGCTAGTTTTAGGCATTTTTATGCCTGTATTGGATGTGTTGTGTGGCTATGTATACCGTGTTTATTTTCTTTGCTGCGGTGCTGGGTAATTTTGGAACTAAAATTTTTCCCTGCAAAACCCTTTTGTGTCCTTTGAATAGAACATACACGAATTTTGGTGTGGCTTGACTTATTGATTGGAACTACAGGCTATGTATACTGTGTTTCTTTTCTTTGCTGCAGTGCTGGGTAATTTTGGAACTAAAATTTTTCCCTGCAAAACCCTTTTGTGTGTCCTTTGAATAGAATGTACATGAATTTTGGTGTGGCTTGACTTATTGGTTGGAACTCCAAACACAACAACTTTAATCATGACCAACCAGTCCTTTGGTATTAAATGTCTGTAAAATATTGTTTGACTTGCAAACAAATTTTACTTGTGATGTACTCTTTAACTATTGAATGTACCTGGTGGTGCTCTGGGCAAGAGTAACAAGAATGGTATTAAAAATTTTGTTATTTTATCCTACTGCTGTTGTGTTTGTTGCAAAGTGTTGACAGGATAAAACTGTTAGAAGGAAGGGAGTGATCCAGGTTTTGTGGTGGCCTGTATTTTTGCCAAGTTATAGCTGGATAATAAATCGGCTTCTTAATACACGATTTGGGTTTGGTTTTCTACATGATAGTAATGTAAAATATACAAATCAAATAAAAATATTACAGGCCACAGAACTCCTTTCTTCTTTCTGTCATTTCCACTCTTGTTTTCAATAACTTCTACTATTTTATTTTTTTTAATCCATTCATCATATCTATAAAATAAAATTGTTACAATATAAATGCATCCTTAAAAGATTAAAAAAAATTATTTAAAATATATTTTAACTATTAGAGTTTAGTTGTTTTAAACAATTATATACAGATTAAATAGCATTAAAATTTATTATTTTTACATCAAAGTTGGTGAAATGTCACATTAGTTACGAATTTGAGTACAGTTAAACTTTGATTTTGTGCCATTATTTTTTTACTGTAAAATTAGTAATAAATTGTGTGTGGTGCTAAAACAAAGTATCTCAAATAATACAAATTATGACCGGATGGCCAAGGTGTCAGCCCACCACTCTGAATGATGCAGAATTGGATCAGGCCAAACAGCTCTAAGAATTTTGCATGTATTTTCTTTCCTGACGAGTCGGGACTATCTCTTGCCAGTTGGCCAAATTCATTATGGGCAAGAAAAACACCTTCTTAGTGCCCACAGGATGGAAAAAGAAAATATATTAAAAAAAATAGTAATTATGTATTATAGCAAGGTGTTGTAGCTTGCTTAAATAAAAAAACTTAATAGTCTGCAACTGCTAAAAGACAATGTAAATGCTATCAAAAATATTTACAATTAATCTTTATAATTTTACAACTTTTCATTAGATTTATTTAATAGTTTTTAACACTATAAGACAGTTAAGCACTTTATCACCAACATATTAATTACTTTTACTGAGAAACAATCATCTCATTTTCCAATGATATTCTAATCGATCCAGGGAACATTCACTTTTAAATGTGTCATATAAGTTATTTAAGTACTAATTGAATAGCCAAAACATAATTTTTTCTCTTTTTAGATCTTGTTTCTTACTCTTCATGGATAAATTATATATATTAAGGTTTATATTGGGTCATCTCAAAAAGGTATGTAGTGTTTTTGTCACTACCTCAAAATAAACATTATCAAAACAAGAAACCAAAAGCTGCAGTAAGAAACCTTTAAAACATCAATGATACTGAAATACATCTACATAAGTCATTTAAACTCATTACCAGTTTCTACAAGGAAGGCATCCAGAAATTCATTTTAAGATGGGAAAGTCATTAATTCATCAAAATACTGTTTCAGATAATAAAATTTAGTGTTAAGTTTTATTTAAAAAAAAAAAGGCTGAAGAGTTTTTAGACAAACCAACATTTTGAATATTTATTACTTATTAAAAGAAGACCAAGTTATGAAAACATATTATAGAAAAATAATTTTCGAAATTAAGAAAATAAAGTTTTAGATGACTTCTTATTACAAATTGATAACTTAAAAATACACATACCTTACATTCCATCCAGTGTAATGTACAAAAAATTTTCTTTCACCACTTTCTCTTTCTATCTTTAAAACTTTAGCTTCGTATTTCTTATGCTGTTTGCCATTTCCATATTTTACTCTTATTCGATCTCCTATCCTCACGATGGCTTCGTTGCGCTTCGGTTTCATCTCGCTAATAAAAATAATTTTAAAATTGAAAGTGACATAAATACAAAAGTGAGTATAAGTGTACATTTAACAATTACACACAAACATTTATTAACACATGTGCACATATGCATAAGACAATAGGTCAAACAAAAATCTTGAAAATACATTATTAAAACTTTGGAAGGCTGTAAATAATGTTAACTATTGGCATGGATTAAAAGTATATTGGAAGATGAATCTGAAAACACATTTCTGATATTGTGACAGTTGCATTTCAAACTTATAACTCCATTAAGCCAAGGGAACAGCGTTTCATTATTTAATTTTTGATTAGTGAGAACATAAAACTGTCGAAAACCCATTTCATAGCATTAAAATATGGAAAATCATTCCCACGGTTGCAACAACTGTATGACTGCAGTACAAAGTTTTACCATAAAATGTTCAACATGGTAATTTAATACTTAACTAGTCAAATATATAGATTGTAAAACATACTTGTCAATAATACTCCAGAAATTATTAAAGAATATGATTGCATTTGTAAGAATACACATATCTAATATTGTAAAAAACTGAAAACTAAGAAATGACAGTAGGACAAAATATATTCATCTGGAATTTAATAGCTAATAAAAGTTCTTAAAACTCAACCTGACTATCCAAAATAAGAATTTGGTTAACAGATATAAAAGTTGTTATTAGATTTCAAAAACCATGGAAACAGTGATATACAGTAGAACCTCGATTATCCGGACTAATTGGGGATGAAGGTAGTCCGGATAAGGAAAAATCCGGATAATCAAAACAAATACTTTAATTTGTCTTAATGATAATACAACACGTTTTCTTTTCGATGGCATAACGGTAATATTAAAAGTAAATACTGTATTTAAATCGTGATCAAATTTTCAAGAAACAAACGTTCGTATTGCATTAGGACTACTACTGACCAACGCTAACAGACTACCTATTGTTTAAAAGGCCCTCTGGTGGCGCAAGAAGACGGATTTTATAAAATAAAAAGCAGTTGAAACTGCATTTTTTGAATAAAAATTTGACAAACTATTTATCGTTTTATGACAAGTAAAATTTTTTCGTTGCGTGAGCGGCTTTTAAGTAATGCATAAACCTTCGAGGCGCGAGGCCCTTCGGACCGCAAGGCATAGACGGTGGCCCACGTCGTCCATGCCTTACGCCGCCCTTGGTCATAGAAATGATGTAATTTGAATATAAATTATTTATAAATACGTATGTCAAGTTATATTTTTATTACTACGTAAAATATATTTAAGAGTTTACGGCTACTGTGCCGGGTGAGACGTTGTTAAAACAAAAAATGTTATGCATTCCATCACGTACATAAACAGTGTCGTAATTCGCCAAGTGCAAATCAGCAAATTCGTAAAATTTTTGTTTATTTTGAACAATCCGGATAATCGAAAGTCCGGATAATGGAGGTTCTACTGTACATTACGGATTTTAATAAAAAATAAGTAAATAAGAATTAATTTCTCCATCTAACAAATCACAATGTAATAATAATGAACAATAATGCCTTTAATATTACAAAAAAGTATAAACAAAAAAGTTTATCATCATCTAATATTAAACTTTTATGCAGATTTAAAAGTATAATTGTGCATTATAATTTATCTACTAATTCTGGTGAAGTTGGCCCTAAAATCATAATGAATTTCAAGAATATCTCCTGCATTTCTTCCTATATTGGCCAGGAAAGGCAATGGCTCTCTCTCCCTTGACTTTCTGGCACTCAAATGGGAGGTTAAGGGAACATTAGAAATTATGGTAATTTTCAATTATACCAGGATAAAATTTAAATAAAAGCTTAAAAAGAATAATTTTGTCAAATTATAAAAAAATCTCTATTTTAAAAAAACACTAAAATACTACAAGTTAAAATTGTGTGTGGTGCCATCTGTTATGAGATTTTATTAAAAAAAATAACTTTTTTAATTTTATTAATTATTTTAAAAAGGAAAACACTTAATTTTGAAGGTAGAGATGAGTTTTGTTTAAAAACAGTAAAGGTCAATAACAAGTAAAAGTTTTGTTAAGTCTGATCCCAATCAAGATATGACACATTACTTCCTTCTATCTTCCTACACTCAACCTTTAACCACCAAAATTTAATAGCACAGGTTCCCATATACAGAAATAACCCTGCTAAATTTGTTTTGGCTTGTAGGTCCAAAGATAAAATGCACAATACACATTGATACATACACACAATTTTACAAGTTTTTTTTTTTTTGCACATTTCTGAACATCGAGAAATGCAAAAACGGGAAAGTCAAAATTCCACCCTCACCATACTTTCCCTACGTTATATTCTGTAATAGCCAGGAAAGTAAAAGTGTGTGTTAAACAGTTATCAAAAATAAATCTACAATGAAAAGAATCCAAAAGCTAAAAGATAAAATATTCAATGCTGAAGTATATAAACTATTATGAAAAATTTAGAAAAAAAGATTTTTTTCCTAAAATATAAATTGTGTAATACAGGATGCTTCCAATTAATGTTAACATTAATATGGAAATAACTCGTTATTCCAAATTGGTAGAGATGAGCCACATTCTACATATATTCACCATCTTCTGCATTTAGTCCTGATCTGACTGTGAAGTTCTCAAAAAAAGTTCAGCCCTACTACCCCAGTCCTGGTGATAGCACAGCTTCACCCCTTCTTTATATAAGTGTTAACATTTTCCAAATCACACAGTTTTACATATATACAGGATGTCCCATAAATTTGTAAATAGTTTAAAAATTCATAAAAGTTGAAAGAATTGATATATTTGAATGCAGTTTGCATAAAAGTTATTGTCACAAAGGGGGATTTCTGTGTATAGAGAAAAAGGAAATAGTTAAAATTTTTGTCAATAGAGGGCACTGAATGCAAGAAAAATCACTGGAATTGTGCAAATCTGAGTCTCATAAAATGCAGGGTGTATGATTAACAGCTCATTTCTGAATTTTCCTGTTACTGGTGCTGACATACAGTTTTCATTATGATGTTGACATTGGTGGATAAAGCACTATTGGTGAAGTTGTTTTATCTCAGCCATGAATTGCCGGCCAAAACTTTACAAAGGTTTAGGACACAGAAGAGAATGAAGAAAGGTTTAGGTCCAATCACTCCTGCTGGATTGGTTTCCCTAATACAACATTTCAAAGAAATGGGAAGTTTGTGTAATTGCCCACACAGTGGTGCACCACATTTATCAGAGGTTTGTACCTCTGATGTGGCTTTGCAATAGACATTAAGTCCTGAGTGTACCGCAATAGCCCATCTTTAGTGCAGTTAAAAGACACCATTTGCCACAAAATCTCCTGCATCCATCTGGATCTGCTACAAGCTGCAGTTAACAGTGTTGTCACTCACTTGCAAACTGTCATTTGTGGTGATGGTGGACACTTAAAACAAGTGCTTTAGTGCTGTGATATGCGTGTAAGTGTAAACATTTGCCTGCATGCAAATAAATGTAATTTTCCCGTGGAATTCCAGTGATTTTCTTGCGTTCAGCGCCCTGTATCGACAAAAATTTGAACTATTTCGTTTTTCTCTACCCCCAAAAAATCCCCCTTTGTGAGAATAACTTTTATGCAAACTGTATTCAAATATACCAATTCTTTCAACTTTTTGAATTTTTAAACTATTTACAAATTTATGGGATACCCTGTATAATATTTTAACCTCACCTGTCATTTGTAGCAACTTTTTCTCCAGAATCTTTATCTTCACTTTTACCATTTTTCTTTTTCAACTACATTAAAAAAGAAAATAAAAATATATTAACACATCAAAAATATTTGTAATTTATTAGTATTTAATTCAAAATAGCTTGTATTTGTAATTTTATAGACAATAACAAATTTTTCTTGTTTCCTGCTCAAGATGTTACAAAATAATACTTTGCATTTTAAGAATGTTAATAACTTTTAAAAATAAATTTTATATAAAATAGAAAATTTAAACATTTTTAAAATAAAATAATTGAAATCCTAAAGTAGAAATTATTGTATTGAATATATACTGTGATCACTAATTAATGTTATGAGCCACTTAATATTATAGTCAAAACCTGTTTTCTCAAATCTGTTCTATATTTCCACATAAAATCTTACCGGTTAGAGTTGGGGTTTTCTGCTTATTGTTATTAGATTAAACTAGAACATTTATAGATTTATTAAAAAGTGTTCTATGCCAGTTGGCATATCACTATTCAAAAACAGCCATTCTGGGACCATTACCCCAAATAAAAACATTTTTAGAACCTTGAAAACTTTAAATAAATAAATGCTGGAATTACCATCATAACACTGACTATTTTTACTTATTAAATAACACCATAAATTGATTTCCTTTAGTTTTACAGGATATTGGTTGGATTTGGTCTTATGATTATAGCTTAATGTAATATTCTATTCATACCATTGAACTGGAGTATCCAACTTTTTGTTGCTGCGATTGACTTTTGTTCTATTGAAACTAATCGCAATGGTAGCTTGCGATTAGTTTCAATAGAACGAAAGTCAATCTCAGCAACAAAAAGTTGGATACCCCACTGTCACTATGTGACATAAGTTTATAGTAATGTCTGTACCAACTGTGATCTATTACCATATATGCAGTATGAGCAAATATTCATGCTTTCTCTTCTTAGTGATTTAATATTGAAAGAAATTTAATATATTTTTATTAAATTTTAAGAAATCCTAAGTGTTACAAAATTCTGAATAGCAATTATTGTGGCAATCAATCAAAAATTTTTGAGATTGATTTGACTGCAATTGACAAATCAAGCTTGAAAAAAAAAGGGATGGTTGAACACTCCTGCTGTAAACACATGCTGCCATGTAAAATATTATCATCCAAACAGTCTTGAACCAATGTGATTACAATAAGCAGCAACCATGCAGTGTTTAAAACTAAAGTTTCAAGATTAACTGTAGTCTTTTCAATAATATAAATAAATAAAATAAAGAATAAAAAATAACAACAGAAAATTTAAAACTTTTTCAAACAACTTGTCTTTTTTCCAATATTCTTTTTAATTGACAAGTCACATCAGAGATTAAAGAGTAGATAAGAGTAAAGAAAATTCCCTAAAATTTTTCAAAATTCCATCAATCATTTGCAGTCTTTGTGTTGACTGTCCCTTTTATACAACCAAAAAGAGCTTGTCACTCTAATGCTTAAAAATTTGTCAAAAGCAATAATTATATTAAGTTAAATCAAGTTTACGTTGTATTGGCCAAATCCAATTGCAAAAATGGGGTCAATTAATCTGTCAGTTTTCTGTACAAATGGTTCAAAAAGTGGGAATTGTATAACCAAGATTATTCTATAAGTAGGAAATTAAACACAAATATAAAAAGAATTGCTTATTGGATAGCCAGGGTGTCAACCTTATGTTCTGGAAGACCCAGGATCAAATTTAAATGATCAAAAAACTCCAGAATTTTCAGGGAGTCATCCACACTTATATATGTTGGACTCAGCCATCATCAACTGGCCACCTGATTATGGGTCTGGCCAAATCCAGATGGGCTTGAAAAAACCGGTCTTAGTACCCATGCAGCAAAGTCGAGAAAAATATTCAATGATTTTCATTAAAAGAAGACTTCAAGAAAGAAAATAACAACCCAACAAAGAAAGTGAAGAGGTTTCCAATTTCAATACCATAGAAGACAGTGATATATAACTTACTGTGTCATGCAATAAATTTGTCTCAAATTATCTACTTTTCATATAAAATAAAAGACAGTTGTTCTAAAAATACTCAGACAATCATCACTTCATTTCCTTCAATGTTCCAGAACAAACAATAGACAGCCAGACCTTCCTTTTTAGGCTACTCAGCTGCCCAGTTAAAAAGTTCCTTAATTAATTAAAAACACAGAAATCCAATTAAAATTTAAAAATTTTCTTAAAAATTGAAAATGGTAAATCTTACGACGTCTTTAATGTTCTCATCCTTATCCATTCGGGGTTTCGGCTCCTTCATATCTACTTAGAAATAGCACTGACAAATGTAGATTATGCCTCAATGTCCCTTTGGTGACAAATTTTAACAATGTGTTTGAATTTCCATATTAAAAAATTTATTTTTTTTATGTATTAAATGTATTAAAAAATTTTTTCATTCGACGGAAATTCAAAAAAATTTTCTACTTTTCATTAATAAATCTGTGGGTGAGCACAGAAATTAATATGTATTTTTTAATTTGATAGTGTCTTATAATTGAGTAAATACTATAGTTTAAGTACAAATTTGACTCACACATCACAAATGATCTTTTACATAGATATTTCAAACACTTTCAACAAACCTTCATTATATTTGAATAGTTATTTTCACATAGAGCAATGCTTGCTGCATGCCAAAATGCTAGTAAAACATGAGTGGCAAAGTTGTATGAACCAGGCTCTACACATTCCAAAACACATTAAGTTTTGTACAGTAAAAAAAATATCATATTAAAAAATTTCTGGAATTGTTAAAAGTTTCCTAAAAATTCCAGTTTTACAGATATTACATGACCTGACTCAAACACAAATATACGGTAATAAAAAAAGAAATTGTGTACATAATTTCATACATTTATTACTACATCTGTCTAACAACAAATAGGAAAATGTGGCATTAATCTATAGATAAATGAACTATACACACAACATAAGCATTATTTTATCATAACTGCACATTAATTTTTTTATATAATAGTCATTAGAGTAAGTAACAGTAACAAAAATAAATGAAAAATAAGATATTTTAGTTTGGAGTAATTTAGATTGTGTTTAAACTTACTTGAAATATTATTTTCTTGATTATATTCTGAACAAGTTTGTTTTTAAAATGTACAGTATGTATTTCCTCAGGTTTATTTGAAAATAAAGGTTTTTTTCAGGCTAGAGTTTATTAACTCGCAACCGGATAAGAGTGGATAAAAAGTGAAAGAAATATCTTATTGGGCTGCAATTCGAAAAAATGTAGACATAAATTCCCACTGTCATCCATCCATCTTTCCTTAATCTTGAGAACAAAGTTAGGTGCACAAAAGATGAGACCAGATATGAAACTTTAGGGCAAACTGGAAGTCACATTATTTCAATCCAAAAATTTCCCCTGAAAGGAGTTAGATGGATGATCAGCATGACTCTATTGTTAAAGGAAAAGTATGATGTAAAAGCCACTACTAATTTGAGGTGGAGAGCATATATTTTAAATTAAATTAGAAATATGATTAAAAATTGCTGCTGGGCTTGGTGGTGAGGTCAAAATAAATAACTGCTCATTAATCATACATTTTTCAAACTAACAAACTGTTATGACATTTGAAATAATTACTATTTTCACAGTTAATCCAATTTGGTGTCTTCCAATTCAATGATTACATTGTCTGTCTTGATGTCATTGTAGGAATCAAGATCTTGACTCCCAACTTCTGGTTCAAAATCATTTTCCTGTTTTCCTAATTACCCTTTGGGAGATAAGCTCTCAACTTTTGAACTTGACTGTGACTTTTCCATGCTCAATATTTAACAATATTTATAATTTTATTTCAAAAAATTTTTCTGTGGAAGTGCTGTCCAACTCTAGACAATTTGAAGAAGTAGAATTTTAGTTAAATGCCTTACCTTACAGTGCAATAATTCACATTTCTCTTGCTTTTCAATATGGGGTTTACTTGCTTTTCTTTCCTGAACTTTATTTGAATTACAGGATTTAGTCAAAATATGGTAACATACATTTAATATATGTCTGATGTCCTAAAAACAAAGTATGAGTGGCAAGACTGCATATGGAGAGTGTTTTCAGTGTTAAGATTCTCATTCGAGAAGAATTAAAAACTTAAAAATGAACAGTATAATGCATATAACTTATACATTACACTCTTGCTAATCCTGCCCTTAATTAATAATCTGGAATATCTCAGGATGACTGCCTATGTGGTTCTGTTTCCACAAAATTCAGATCACATTCAGTTTTCCCCGTTTACTCGAGTTTCATTTCTGCATCCAGTACAACACAGCAATAAGCCATATTATTTGCTTGCTTGCCTCCAAAAAGAACTGGTATCAAATGGCAATGGGTTGAGTCATTTGTTGCCTTTGAGAGGCTTTAGGGATATTTGCTCTCACTAATTTTGCACCCATCTGCACAAGGAATGCCTGGATTAGCAAGACTCTAATGTATTTATTTTGTTTGTACTCTACCCATAGTCTACTATATTTATTACTCTATATGCTTACATTGTAAAAATTAATAAACTGTGTTATGAAAATTTTTTCTTAAACTTCAATCTTTTAAAAATCATGCACAAGAACCTAGCAAGTGACATTCCTCTTCAAAATGTATAATTGTTTATTTATGCAGAAGGAAACTAGAAAATTATTTTGTTAACTAAAAACTAATTTTGGGGAAAGAAAACTTATTTTATAATGGTAACAAATGTTTTTGATGGTATTTAAAAAAAATTAACTGAAATATAATGTAAAACGATGAAGAAAAATATAAACAAATTAAAGTATTTTCTTTTTAAATCACAAAATTTATATCAAATACTTACCTGTTCTTTGTCTTCTTCGACCTTAACCTTCACCGGAACGCTTTTGTCTTTAGCAACTTCTTTTGTAGTAACTTTAGGTTTTTCCTTATTGTTCTTTTCTTCTTTAGTTTTACCATTAACTGATTTCTCTTTTTTCTTATCTTTAATTAAATTGCATTTTATCTTTTCCTGTTCATTTTTTAAACTTCCCCTGGTTTCAATTTTTTCTCTCTTTGGCTCAGGATTATTGGGAGATTTTGACTCCTCCTTCTGCCGTGTGCTCTCGCCGTCGTCGGACTTCGATGGACGAGACCGACGTTCCACGCTCTCATCACTCTTTTGCTTGCTTTTTATCTAAAATAACAAAATACCAAGTTTACTTAAAAGAAAAAAAAATACATATTTCTTATTTACAAATTAAAAATCTCAACTATATTTGTTTGAATAAAAATGCAAAATAATTTAGAATGGACTCTCGGTAATATTTTCTTTAATAAGAAAAGAAAATTCTACGATATATTTTCTGAATTTAGTTTATTTACACATTTATTAATTTCTTTCAAATGGAAGATTAGTCACTTGGACAATAGCGAATAAAGCAAATGCAGAATCAATTGCATTGCTAATAATATTTTTAATCACAAAGGAACATGCCACATAATAATAAATAGCTAAATGTGAAAATATCAACAAAATTGTATAATAAAATTGATTGCTTTTAAAGTCTCAACAAAAAAATATTTAAAAATTATCATCATATAATATTAGAGGAGGTGCTCTATTCCTTATGAGCTAGAAAAATTTTCAATAACACAAATTTTATTTTGGTGGTAGAGATTTCTAAATTACAGATAATGTTTTGTTGTACTTTACCTACTTCACCCTGAATATGATAGTTTTTTCTATATTGTTTGCATTTTTATCTTCATAACGTAACTATCTTTTTATAGTATTTTTTGTATAATTTCAACTTGTTGATTGTATCTTGGTACTCTGATTCCTGCAACTGAGATTTTTTTTTAACTCCTTCTGTCCTGTAAACACTAAGATGATTTTTTCCCTCATACTCATTGTAGATTTGACCAGGTCCACAATAGGGCAGCTGGACAATGAGAGTTAGGACCCAATGTATTCTGGACAAACTGCCCACAAAAAATCCCATGGGGTTTTGCCTGCCCACATTCAATCTTGGGTCCCCCGGATTGGTAGACTGCCTCGGCCATCAAACTACAGAGTTGACCAAAACTTAATTTTATGTAAAATTTTCATTTTTTCCCAAATTCTACTGGTACATTCACTTTTTGACTCATAATAATTTGTTTTTAAATCCTACCACTTAGCAATCTGTAGAATTGGCAGTTGTACTCTTATCATTAACAAACTTCAGTTTCCTTTTGATCTGGTAATTGGCACCAGATCTTCAATTACCTTTCTTCTTTTGATTGTGATTTTCAAGGTTTATAGTATGGTCCCAATTTCTCAAAAAATTAATTAATTACAAGCCCTCACTTAGAATTATTGTTATAATATCATTGAAAACACAAGTACCTTTGTAATCATTTGCAGTTATTGTTGTTGAATTTTCTTTATAAATAGTAAAATTGATACCGTAAAGTGGGAAATAAATGCTGCACAATGTAAATACAATCAAATTAGAATATTGACCAAATTATATTTTGTTTATACAACAGTTTAATTAATTAATTAATATATGGTAAATTTTGTTTTGTTATACATCATTTTGCTTACATCACAGTTTCCAAGAACCTATTCATGACCCAAAGTGAGGACTTGTTGTAAACTTATTTTGTTTTCTATTCTGCAATTAAAAAAATAATTTATTTATGAAAAGCTGATCTTTTACCTAGAATTTGACACACTGTACACACACTATACCTTAAAAACTTTTTCATAAAATTTAAAATTTGATTTTATTTTATACTGAGATATTCTAATTGTCATTTATGTAAAGTTACTATATTTGATGACAATTAAATGTTTGATATTTATAAAGTATAAAATCATTTACCTCAATATCATCAAATGTATCAAACTCCCTTATTTCTCCAGCTAAAGGAACTTTCTTCTTTTCTTTTTCAAATCATCAAGTTTGTAATTCTATATTTAAACTAATCCTTTTAAAAATTTTCAATGTATGCTTTGTATTCAGACATTAGTCAGTCTTTGATTCTGTTCTCACAAGAATACTTATAAATACATTAGACTCGGAGTTTGATTTCAAACCTGTTTTTTACTTTAATTACTTTTTATTTTGTATTTGCAAACTAAAGATTGAGAAATGCCAAAAAGTGAAGAAATATTCTGTCTTAAGTTGGTTTTTTCAGCACACACATTAATTCTTGTAAATTCAGCATTGGGTCTTTCTTAATTGCTTATATGGATGGTATAAAATTATTAAATTCTTATCTTGTGTATCTAAAACAATGACCTTAACTCTTAAACCATGACTTTAACAGGGTTAGTCTAACTCAGTGTTTCTCAACCTCTAACGAATCATCGCCCTCTTCAACGTAGTATTGACCCCTTCAATAAAACCATTACGTAGTATCGTCCCCTTCACTTCAAAATTCCGATGCCGAGGGCCAAGGCTAACACCAAATTCATACTGCATTGAATAGACTATTGACTAGTATAAAGTTATTTGTTTAATTATTGTATGATATAACAAATAAAATATCTAATTATTCTTAATACAATGTTTTACTATATCGCCAAGAAAATTGTTTTTCGCCCCCAAAATATAAATTGTTACAAATCGCCCCCTCAACATGGATAAACGCCCACATGGGGGCGATATTGCCCCCGTTGAGAAACACTGGTCTAACTTTTAATATTTCAAAAATAGTACAGTTTAAATCTTACAATCCATCAAATGTTCCTTTTGTTTAATGATATTGAAATTTCATATATGCAAATGGCTACTGATTTGGAAATTATTTTTTGTTCCAAACTTATTTTTAGAGAATGCTTTAATAAGAGTGTTAAAAGATGTGCCATTAGAATGATTCGTTATTAACGCATTTAACTCATTCGTAAAATCGAACGAGTTAAACGTGTTAGTAACAAATCATTCTAATAGTAGTAGTCTCGCTTAGTGCACATGCTCTGCAGTGATTATATTTTGAACAAAACTCTGACGAAGTTCACTTCATTAAGAAAAAGGCGCCCAACAATATTGATGTATCTAAATCTACTTGAGTATTTAAACTGTGAATTAAAAGTTGAAATGATAGAAATAACTGTCCACCCAAAGCAATCTAAGAAAAATATTTCGGATAAGGCTGCATTTGCAACATTCATATCTTCGATTTTAGAAACAGCCATTTAGTTATAAACGAATTGGTCAAAAAGTCTAACCAAATAAGAATAACGATGACATCATTCTTGTTTAACTTGCTCAACTTTACAAATGTACCCTAAGTAGTTATTTGAACTCAACATAGCACTCATTAAATTATATCTTCTATTCAATAGACTTCATAATCTTCCATATATTCAGTCTACAGATAGTATCCAATTGTGATTTAATCTTCCTTCTTGGTGTAACAGGGTACTTCAATCAATTAACAAACTTTTTAATTGTTTCAATGGTTACTTACCTCCTGATGACTTTTTTTATAAGTATTCTTTCTTGCGTGATCAGGAATTACTCATCTGTACTCTGTTAATTATACCTAAATGTTTTGCATTATTCTTTTATGGTAGTAGCTATATGTAATTTTGAAAATTTTCATATTTAGATTGTTTTAATTTTTAAAAAAAGCTTGTAAAAAATGCTATGTACTCTTAATTTTTTTTTATGNATACAGTATTTATTTCTTTTTCTTATTTCTTGTGAATTATTTCTTTTTTCAAACGAGTCTGCATGTATTTAATTTAATCATATTTTTATAACATAAAATTATGTAACCATTAGCATAACTATTTATATAATTTCTTCGTATAAAAATTCAAAAAATGAAATAGAAGTCAAGAAAAAATAAAACATAATATAATTTTCAAAAGAGTATTTTGTAGTCACATTCAAAATATATTTTCTTTTTGTGCTTCCTTTTGAATACTGATGTACTATAGTCTTTGCACGTATTCAATTAAATGTAGTGTAGTTCCTACATGTAATTAGATATAAGTTCAGATTTAAGATGCCTAACATCCCATGTTAATTTTTAATATTGTTTAATTTCATTAGCAATATAAATTACATATTTTGCTTATCAACTTATTAATTTATCCATTAAAAACAACTATAATTAATTATACAAATATGAAATGAAAATATTTTTTTATTAAAGACTTTTTCAAGAAAAAATTGCAAGTGTTATCTACAATTTATAAAAAACTACATCAATATTATACTTTATAGATAGGCCTAGTTATAGGTCTACATTATTAGCTTTATATGTATGAATAATCAATACAAACAATTCAAAGTAAAAAAATATTATTTAAATATTTTAACCATATTTTATTTTTAATTTTCCAATATTCCGATTATTTTCAAATATTTATGATTCAGAAATTGGAAATTTCTTTTTAAAATGTTATTCTGATCAAGACAATTTCTTTCTTTGATATGGAAATAAATTTTTGAGTAGTTCTTCGATTGCGATCAAATCTGGAGATTTCATTCCTATTATCAGAAGGTTAACCATTCGATCAAATATTCCATTTTCATCCAATTGATCTGAACCATGAATATAATCAATCTTCTTTTATATCAATAGTCTGCCACCATTACATTTATACATTTTCAGTAAAGCTTTATTATTATCCTAATTAATTAATTGCTCGATTTGATTAATTTCAAATCTAGATTCACATATGGCATTAGGTTTAATGATGATTTATATAAAAAAAATAGAAGTAAACAATAAAAAAAACATTTACAATCGTTTTCTATGAATTTTTATTTATGTAAGCTATATATATTTATCTTTTTTAGTATAGATTTGTTATGCACATTTAATCGTTTATCAGGCCTAAGAACTTATGTAAAATTGTTTACTTTCAATAGATAAAAAATGTTTTGAATATAAATACAAAAAATATTCAATTTTTATAACAATATTTTTAGCAACATATATATTAGTATTAAATTGTAAATTCATTATCTGCTAACCATCTTTAACCATTAAAATAAATTCAAGATGATATTCAGATTTATATTTGTTTATGTAGTTATAATAATAAAATATCTTTTGATTGTAGAAAAATTTACATGGCCACATGCTGACCAAAAACTGGAAATACAAGACTGTAGGAGAATATAAGAAGTATTCTTCTATAGTCTCAAGCTTGAACCTTCGAATTTTCATCTGTTTGGACAAGTAAAGAACACTTGATTGGCAAGTGATTTCAAATGGAAGACAACTTAAAACATGCATTGCAATAGTTCAGACAATGAGAAACTGTTCTACTCTGTCAGTACGAATGCATTTGTATGTCGATGGGAGAAATGCCATAAGCCATAATGTAAATGGAAATTACATCAAAACACAAATGTTCTTTACTGATCATAATTTTGTCTCTATCTGTAAGTAACTTTCAGTATTTTTCAATACTGTCTGAATTCAATTTATCAGTAATTCAAAATTACTGATAAATTCTAGTTTTAACACAAAAATTCCCCATATTAATATGTCATTTGTATGTAGATTGTAACAGAATATACAGGGTTTCCAGAAAGGGTGAGTGCAGTTTAAAAGTAAAATAAATTAAAAATAAAAACTGTTCAAAGAAAGTTTTGTTTTTATTTTCAATCTATGGTTATTGGAAAATTATGTACTAAATGTTATCTAAATGGCATCCATTACGCTCCTGGCACTTTTCTAATCTAGAGCGAAGATTTCTCAGTACACGTTGACACACAGCCTGAGATACCGATGCCATTTCTGCTGTGATATTCTCAAAATTCTGTGTGGCTCAAAATGTATCTATTATAAATGTATAACACTTCTCCCGTGGGGGGGGGGAATTTTTTGAAAAATTCCTTCTTAGTGTACATTCTCTTGACTTACCCTATTAAAACGCAATCAAAAATGCAAAAAACCGCATCTAAAATAGTATAAATAGAAGCAGAGTTCTTTACAATAAGCCTTAATCCTGTTCCTCTCCCCAGTGGGGGAATTTCGACATGTATATTATATAAAAACANTATTTGTCTAGATATTTATTTTATGACATATATTGATATTATTTATATATTCTTTATTTATTATATATCAGAACTTTCTTGCCTCTTAGCGCATATATCTATTATATTTAGTAATCAGTGCTACGTTATCGTTAACAGCTGTTCATTGCTGTCACAGCAGTAACATTTTGACGTCATAACAATGTCATACTTAATGTTCTCTTGCTTCAACCTATCGTCAGCCTTTTATTACGGGAAGTTCATATTTGTAGATTATGACGAATGACATTCCATTTACAATGTTTACCTCACATTATATATTCCGGATATATTCTTCTTTACTTTTCTGTATAATTAATAAAATTTTCGCTTTTTTAATTTGTGTCTTTAATTTCTGGCTTCAATCTTTATTTAATTAATTAATCTATAATTATGTTTTAGATAATTGAGAGAGAAGATTACCTGTTAATTTCTTTAGGAATTGATAAAAATGCGAGTTGGAAAAAAAATATATAGTAAAATATCAATAAAATTTATCGAGCAGAATTAAATTGATTAAATAATTAAAGGTTTCGCTTTCTTCTTCAATAAATTTTAATCTAGACATTTTAGAGGGAGTGATTTAAGTTTTTCGAGTTTTTTTTAATCGTTTCTAGCGATCTGTTTTAGCCTTTTATCGCTTGTATTTCCATGGTAGCAAATTTCATCGAAAAATTCAACCTCAATGGATATTTATTACATTGTTTTCATTTCCTTTCCAAGTGCTTTATTTTTTATTTCTCTTTTTATGT